CTTACATACCTACCTACATAGAGTGCATTTAATACATCAACATCTTTGTATTATTATTTTAAGTAGGTCCACAGTCCACAGCACATCATACTACATAAATATTTTTGTTGCAAAATATCTCTTATCGCAATTACATAAAGTTGCCACAGTGTTTAGCTTGTTGTGCTGTCATCCACACATCAGCGTGCGATACGCCTGTAAAGTAACTCCTTTTAGAAATATTAAGGCAATGTTGAATAACAGACAGGAAACACAATAATATTATGATTAATGCAGGTACATTCGACTGAGGGTAGAGACAAAAGGGGTGCGATGGTGAGGGACCTCCTCGTGGTGCACCCTGGGTAACGTCGGCGTGGTCTGTTCACGTGGGCGGTTAACTTCTCACCTGCGCGGCAGGTCTCGTCAACTCGGCGGGCCTGTCGGGCAACCCGTAACCCACAATTGAGTGGCCCGGGGACCGTCGAGGCATTTGCTCGGGCCACGATGCAGGGGACATCTTTAAAAACCCCCACAGGTGGGGGCTGGTGGGGCGTTTGCCCGGGTTCATTCTTTGGAGGGCCGCTCTCGGTACTTCTCTGATCAGCAGAGCTGACTGAGCAGCGGCATGGAGCAGACCGTAACCCGCTACGGCAGGCCGGGGGTCCTGTTGTACCAGGGCCGCGGGGAGAAAACCTCTATAAAAACAACTGGAGGAGGGCCTGAGGCGGAGCTGCGGACGAATGTTCAACTAGTAGGACAATAACTCGCGGCTCTGGTGGAAACCGTCGGGTTTTAGTGGGTAGGCCCCGCCTTTAGTAGTCGGGGAGAGTCCCCACATAACCCACTGGCCGTCCCCATCGACCAGTGAGTATGCGCAAAGCATTTCGCGACGTAAACAAAAGGGTAGAGACAAAATAAAAATTTATGCTTATAAATCAGTCTTTATGAAGTGAAGATTTTTAGTAGTGTAAAATATTGACGGATACATCTTATCTTATATATATAAAAATGAAACCCGTTTCGCGTTGTCACGGCATCACGTGTGAACGGCTGAACCGATTTCGATAATTCTTTTTTTTAAATGTTTGTGGAAGTCCAAGGATGGTTCTTACGGAAAAAAATATTAAGAAAATCTCTACGCTAAGGCGGTACGAAGTTCGCCGGGTCAGCTAGTAAATTATAAATAGGTAAGTATCTACATATTTTCTAATTAAGCGAGAGCTTTAAAACTAAGAGGTAGCTATTTCCTTCCATGTGTAGAGTCGCAGCTCATGAGTAAATAAATAATTGTAAATTATGTAGATTAATTTTACACATAAAAATAACCGTAGCTTGCACAAATATTGGGATGTAGGTTAATTTGCTGTTAGTTGAGTACAATATTACCCACATTCATATTATGTTAAGTCCTTCTGTACCTACTTTATCTACTATCCTTTCTCTCATAGAGCCTACGCGTTGTACACATTCACACTATGACACTGGTACTACATACGTATCTAAGCCAAAATGCTAACTTGAACTGACGAAGAGCGACGTTAAGGGATGTTGAATAATTCAAATAATTCTTCAATCTTCGATTTTTCATTGACGTTGAAGTCAAAATGTTTGGTGTCATTATTGTTGCCTGTACAATCTCTGCACGATCTCAGGGATCCAGGCGGGGTCGTGGAGGCGGTCGCGCACGCGCGCCAGCGCCGCGTCGTTGCCCTCGCGCGCCGCGTCCGCGCCGAAGCCGCTCCTGCGCGCGCGCGCCAGCAGCGGCAGCACCTCTAGCCGCTCGGGGCCCATTGGAGGCTCAGTGGTGCTCGCCTGTGACCTCGGCGCGTTCAAGGCCACAGGCGGGTAATACAGCTGCGCGAATATGCTCTGCTCCACTTGACAGCTCACCGCGCCCAGCGCCGCCACTAGCAGGACCAGTTTCCAGAACATGTCGGACCGGTAGGATGACGCGACAGACGAGACACAACTCAGCGACTTGTCCCGCCGCTTCTTATATTTATACTGTCTGCGAATTTATCGCCACAAGGAAAATTTGCATGATTAAAGCGTAGTAACTTATTAACCGATCGATTTGGTAGATGTTTGAATTATCTAAATATGAAATAAAAAGGACACTTGAGTAAATACGTCGTATAGTAGGTATATACTATTTATCACTTGTAGCTAGTAACTCATACTTTATTAGAATGTTTGTAGAGCAAAGAATTGAAAAGATATTATCACCTGCCCACTATACTTACATACTTAAATTAGATGCTTATCCAGCTAAGTCAATTGAGTATTACTTAGGTATTATATTTTTCTTTAAATTATAGGTACTTCGATCAACAATACCAACTAGATATTGGGTCATCGTAAAAATTACGTCTCGCGATTCGCGCGAAATAAGAGCGCACTTGAGAAGTGAGTTATTTTATTGTAATTAATCTCTTCTGGCATTTATTTCATTTAACATTTACATTTTATAATCTTTAAAATTCTCATAGGTACACCCCGCTTACTTTGAGTTGGAGTTATTTAAATAAGAACTTCTTCTCTTCTTTCTTTAAAACTTTTGCGCTGACCCGATATCAAGTAGTTGGTGTTGTTGATCGAAGAAATTAAATGTTATTTTGCATAAAGAAATTACTTGTAAGAAGTTCAATATAATTATTAAATTACACCTTTTATGACGAATGAATTCAAAGAACGGAATGAGTAAATATATCTACCTAATTTATTGACGTAAACAATGACTTGTTTTTTTTAATTGTTATTTATGTAGTTACATAAGTAATGCAAAATCTGACGTGACGAGTGAGTTAGACCAGAGTAAATAATACTTTCTTTGGTTTGACCTGCTAAGGGTGGATACGACCAAACAAGAGTATATCATTCTCAGAATAAATTTGTCATTTTGACAAATATTTCCCATACTGAAACTGTTAATGTGCCAGTTATACCAGGAGTTATTCCCGGATAAAAGTTTGGTCAAAACGGGCTTAAGTAGATTCATTTTAGAGAGCTCCGTGGAACCTTCACAAGAAACCCACAGTTCAACCCCCGTGAAAGGACCGTGATGTCTAAACTCACCATCAGTACCTACGATTATGAAATTAAAAATAGGTTTCATTTAAGAACCTAAGTACATACAGTAGGCGCACGAGTTCATGTCCATCGGGGCCTTACTTACTTATTTACTTATACTTATACTTACTTATAAGTTGCAAAAAATATGGAATAAGTAGATAAGGTACGTTGACCTACTTAATTGGTAATAATTATCGATATCAACATTAGCATAATTAGTTAGGTAACAGCACTAGCGCATTCCTCAGGATGGACATGAACTCGCGCGCCTACGGTATTAGGTAGAGTTCAGCACAATAATTAATCGGCTACTACTTTAGAGCAATCTCTTCAAATGACTTACTTGACTTATGGTCCTATGTCCCCTAGATGGGGCAGAGGGCGTCCTCAACAGTCCTCCATCGCGTTAGGTCTTGAGCTATGTGTTTGATCTCGCTCCAAGTCTTGCCGATCTTCTTCGCCTCGTCTGCCACAGTGCGCCGCCAAGTTTGTTTGGGGCGACCACGTTTGCGTTTTCCTTGGGGGTTCCAATCCAGAGCCTGCTTGGTATGATCTCTTCAAATAGAGGGCATTTATTGTTCGTCATCCTCATTTGTTTGTATACGGTACTTTACTATGTGGTCATAATTAATGATTAATAATTACTAATAGCAAAAGGTTATCATTATCATTTTGCATAGAGCCGGGGATTTTTCTGGCGAACGTATTTATTTACTATGTTTTGTAAACAAGTACGATGTAGTTGTACAAATTTGATTTGGTATGTAATATTATAACAACATTTATTATGTTTTTTTTTATTACAGGTGCCATAAGCTACGTCAACGTGGAGGTTGTGGTGGCGCCCTCATCAAAAAGTGAGTTTTAAATGTACTACCGCCCGATCATTTATGAAGTAGGTGGATTTGTTTAGCGTTACCGCGTTGGTACCACACTTGAGGTGCAATTACCGGATACTATCGCTAGGTGGCAGCAGTGACTAACATTCTGATTCCGATTCTGTTTACTAACACAAATTAAAGTGCTTAAATATCTGAGACTCTACATTAATGTGACGTGAGAAAGGCGCTTGTACTCGTAATGCGCATATTTTCAGGAAAAAATTCCTAATGCAGTAATTCCCATTCTTGCTTCCATAAGTGTTTGATAATTTCGAAAACTCGCACAACGACTCCGTGGCGCAACGGTAGCGCGTCTGACTCCAGATCAGAAGGTTGCGTGTTCAAATCACGTCGGGGTCACATAAAGGAATTTTTTTTTCAAGATTATGTACCTATATTATTTTTGTTTTATCGTTAAGTTACGGAAGCTTCTCTTATTTTTGTCCCACTGCCGAGAATTATTTTGTTTTCTAAATTTTCCAAGGGAAACATATTTTTCCCCTCTGAAGTGCGTTCGAAATTGTCACGCCTGTTTTTCCTAGCATTGACGCCCCTCGTTGGGTGTCCAATAAAACTTCATCGTTTACAATAGTTTTCACGGGTCTTCCTGTCTGTTACATGGCGACTACGGGTATTGAGTTACAATAGGACAGAACAGTAAGATTGAGATGAATTTGGCTCATTTTCTTCAAAGTTGTACAATGCAAACTCTTATTTAGAGCCTACTTATCTTGTGCTTCACGTTCCTAAATATTTTAAGTATTAAAAATTAATTAAAAACAATGTAATTAAATCTTCATACTACTGCAAAACCTTTTTGCTGTTTTGCTCAATATTAATATTTTGAGAACAAAAAGAACTGAAATATTCGTTAATAATCTCATAAAATTAGTAGTAGTAGTTGGCAAAAAAATTGGAGATGCCGGGGATCGAACCCGGGGCCTTTCACATGCAAAGCGAACGCTCTACCACTGAGCTACATCCCCGCTTGGTGCGCAGGTCGAAATTGTCAATTCAAAGCTAAGCCCATCGTTATTACAAAACAATAAAATAAAAATGCCTGAAAATGATTGATTAAACATTTAATTCAAAGTTAAACATTTAATTGAATTGAATTATTACCACACCTTGAGAAATCTTATCTTAAATTCATATTAACTATTAAATAGAGTCCTTTTGGGAAGCCAGTTCGCCGTTTGCATCGTAACTTTAATAATATAATTAGGTTATAATAATAAGTAAGTAAGTAGTAATCACAAATAAGTATGTAGTAACTAAATCTAGGCTCTCAATAGTCGCAAGTGCTACTTATTTTAGTTTTTAGTCAAAGACATACGAGTTTTGATAGAGAAGAGAGACAACATGATAAAGAAGACAGCTACAAATAATTTGTGCTGTTTATAGTACCTACTCAATTAAATAGGACTCATTAAAAAGTGATTTTAATCGCCCGGGCATTGTATAATCTGCTGATACTTGACAAGTCAACCGCAGTGTAGTAACTGGAATTCAGTCAGAAACAAAAAAAATGCAATTAAATAGAGTGAACATAGTGATTCCACAGTAAACTATATACTGATGATCACTTGGGGACAGAAGGAATATTTGTAATTGTGCGGTTACTTTGCAAAATGATTTCAAGTTGTCTCCCTCAGCAATCTTGTGACGTTGGCATATTTAAGAGCGACGGTTACATCAGAAAATAAGATATCCTTATGAAGAGTAGGGACGCTGATATGCGGGTCCAGTACCTCTAGCACGAACAACTTTTGTCTTCGAATCGTTTGCGTATTCGACAAAATTCGATACCCAACCTTCGAATTCAACGTCAGAAATAGTTTCGTGCATTTTATGAGATTTTTCAATCGTCAGATATATTTTAACTGAAGAATAAACTTATCATTTTGACTTGTTTCATACTGAAACTGTAATGTGCCAAAGTTATTCTTCAATAAAAAGTTATTCGATGATTGAAAAATCAGCCTGAACTTTGTCACTTTAGCGGCGTTATGTTTTCATACCAAATCTTTTGATGGCGATTCGAATACGCAGACGATTCGAAGTCGAAAGTTTTTCGTGGTAGAGGTTCAGACTGAGATTGGCGCGAGCTGAGGCTAGGTCTCCGCCTGCATGATGAACTCGGCGAGCAGCATTTCCATGGTGGGCGCGAGGCGCGCGTGGCGGCAGGCGTCGCGGAAGCACGCCGCCATGTGCAGCACGCGGAAGCACGCGTCCGCCTCGGCGTGGTGCCGCCGCTCGCACTCGTGCAGGAACCCGATCAGCTGCTCCGCTAGCACTTCACCTGTTGGCAGACGCGTTAAGAGAAGTCAAGTCAGGCAAAATTACGCCCAGATGAGGTACACTCAGAAAGAGACCCGTGAATCTGTGAAGGAACAATCAGAATCAAATGGCATGGTAGACCCAAACCAAAATGACTCTGGAAACCCCGGACCTGAAGACGTGAAGAGGTTGTTGAAGGGGTCGATTGTTTTGGATACGATTAGCTATAATTAATTTCAAACAGTTGCACAACAAATCACTGTCTACGTGTACCTACGTTACGACATGTTATTTAGCATTGCCTTATTTTGCCAAGCCTCCGAAAAATCTTACGCATATTAGAGGCTTCAGGCTAACATGAACTTACGACGCATGATGCATGATGCCAATAAAAGAAGTACTCGATACTAAACTTAAGTTTAAAGGCTGAAGCTGAAGGAGGAATGTGGAGAATCGAATCATCTTCCAACAGCAGAACAATGAGATTTTAAGAAAAGTATTGAAAAGTGTAGGTGAATCACCATTGGGGAAGCTCTTGACGAACTTCTCGGCGTTGGCGTGGTGCATGCTGTTGACGTCGGTGATGAGGTTGAAGTGCGCGCTCATGCAGCGCAGCGCGCAGCCCAGCTCGCGCGCCTCCAGCTTAAAGTCCTCGCTCCAGAAGTGGAAGAACTCCTCCATCTTCTCTTGCGTCAGGCCAGACTGGGGAACAATCAAAACGAAATTATTTAGACCAACATACGAATGAATTTGTTAAGGGTAAACAGAAAATAGTCTATATTATAGAGCAGATTCTGACTTGCTGGAAGCTTTATTTAAGCAAGCAATGCCATATACTCGTAGTTCAGATAAAAATATTATTTTATAATAAATTCGCTTATTCGCAGAATATCACAGATTTGCATGATATTAAGTCAAAGACCATAATTATTATTGCAGTAAAAAATATAATAAATGACTCAACAACAATGTAAAGATTCTGAATCTTTAAATCAATCGCCATTACCTCCTCCCTGCAATGGTCCAGCGCCTGGCCGAAGCCGAGCGTGAGGTCGGTCATGACGCCGAGGTCGGCGCGCGTCCGCAGCAGCAGCCCCGCCAGCACCAGCAGCGCCGCGCCCGCCATGGTCGCCGACTCCCGGCGCGCGCGCGCTTATATCCCCCGCTAATCACGGCCGCGGCTTAATCTCACTCATTACGCTCCTACCGCGAAGAGGCGGGCCCGCGGGCGGCCACATTTTTCTTGTTTGCATTGCTGCATTGTAATGCCTGATTACGATATAATGAGCCCGTTGTGCATGATGCCTGTGATTGCCCATCTCACTTGTCCGACAGTAATGAGGCCTTTTAATTGACACGCGCAATCCGGTGAAGGATGAGATGCGCGTTTGCTGTGAGTCCGCTTCATTCATAAGTTTCATGGTGTAATTAGCTATAAGTGTTTTCCACAAAATAGCAATTAGCATCTATTAATGTATGTTGAATTTGCGCAAACGTACGTAAGTACTACTTACAGATCTGAAGATGCCTTTGCATAGTTTGCATGCACGAGATTAGCTAGATGGAAGGCTTAATAACACGCAATTTTTTATGTATTTAGCAAGATGGAGTTCATTCATAGATACATACATACACATACATCATTATGGAATTTGCCAGTGCCTATGTTGCCTCTACATTGTAATAACAATCCACATATTTAATGAACGTTAAGTATTTAGTACTTTTGATCTTGTACAGGTACACCTCTCTATATTTACTACCCAGTCAATTTAGCGCTCCAATTGAGCTCCTCAGAAAGCTTTGCCTGTACCATGCGCGTAGCCTGAGCTTTTATGTATTAGATTTCGCTATGATTTGCAAGGCAGCTGTTGCAACTCCGCACATGGCTAGTCCAAATTATATTTTCAACGTGGATTTATGGTTTATCCCTAATAATTGGTGCAGACGAGTAACGGCTTGCGGGACCGACCGCGCCGCAAATTGCAGGTGGTAATAAAAACATAATTATTAGCGGTTCGATGATTTTTCTCACGAGTTACATCGAAATCAGTATCTAAAGGAAGTTGTGGCAGGCAGCTTTATGTCTACGTATTAAGGGTGTTGTAAGTTTTAAGGGGCCTGGTATTTTACCGCGCTGTAGGACGTGCCCCCCGCCAGCGTGCACTTGCCCCATTATTGGGTCCCGGCCGCAATCTGCGCGAACACTCGACAGGGCGAGAACTCGGCGCACGCGCACCGAGCGCAGTCTGGCCGCTGATTACTATAATACTAGAACCCGGTTAATTACCATTTTCAGACGAGCACCAGTGATTCTGAAATAGTTTTAGAACTCTATATTTTTATTGCCGTTTCTCTACATATCTTTCTAGCACCTGGTGCATCTGGTAATGTGGATTCAACGATATTTACAAAAATATACGAGTATTCCATACAACTAAACTGTACAAATTTATTACAACTGTAATAGTATATTTGCACATGAAAGTTCACAAAAGTTTGAGAAGTATGCGAGGTAAAAGTAGAGTGAATCAGGGCGAAGGCCTGGCATTATTGTGCGGAGTAAAATTTATTTCCTTTTTTTACCTCACAGCTTTTTTTACTAGAAAAGTGTTGTGCCAAGAAACGACTTTGTACGAAAAAAAAATTTCCTCTGAATTTGAATAACGCAGTTTTTGAGCTTTAAATTCTTAGGTTCATTTGCGTGACGCCAATATGAGTAATGAGTATCCTGGTGATTTTCCCGACGCGCGGTAAGTGCGCGCGCGCAGTCACGCATGCGAGCTGCGGTACAATCGTCGATACAAGGAGCAATTTCATATTTTTACGGTTTTAGATTATTCTTTGTCATGAAAGTGTCAAAGTGTCAATTCTACAGACGAATTAATGAGAAATAAAAGTTTAGTAGGTATTTAAAAAAAGATATCATGCACGGCCGGCCGTCCACTTTAGAGAGTCCTGTGATGTTCTGAACTAAAACAAATAATTGAGTATGTGTGTGGATATTTTTTATGTTACTTGATAATTTATCATTATTTAAATAACATCACGAAAAAGACTTCAGAGTTCTTTTTTTAGACTGTGATAACTTTTAAAACAAGGACAATTGAAAATTATTAACATTTTTGGATTTTGCACTAGTGCGCATGAGTGTTTTGCAGCCGCAAATAATCTCAGTAAACGCTGCCCGCCGTGCGATACTTTAAACCCGAACTTAGCACTCAAATTACTACCCTCACTTCCCATACATACGTTTCAAATTCCCTCACACGAACACAGCTTATATCCCACCAATTAAACCTCTTCGCAGAAAACGTTAGCGAATTTCCTTCATTGATCCTGTTCGGTTGTTAGTATGTATTTACATACGTATGCGTAATCACGGATAAGTGCTCTTGTGATGTTAAAATAGTATGATTATTATAATTAGTTGGGAAGATGAGAGGGGAATAGCAGGAGGAATGTAGAGGAAGTAATTCCCAACTCCTCCAAGTGAGTGTGGCGCCTACGTGAAATAAATACGGAATATTTTTTCATTAGATTAATTATTTATTTGAAAATTTGTTGCAACTTGCACATGATTAATGTAACAAAGTAGAAAAGGCAAACCAACTTGATGCCATACCTATGACATCTTCTGCCAGTCATGCAGTTCCTGTCCGTCTTATCCCTATGTCACATCATACATTATTCTGGTGATATTATTCCTATAGGATTTTTGATTTTCATTTTTTAAAATATCGAAATGCACATTGGAACCTTCGGGTTTGTTTCGGATTAGGTACAAACTTTGGCATATTTTCTTGTGAGTTAATAAATGTATTAATTTGCTGGCATAGGTATTATTGTTGTAAAGTACGGCGCGTTACAAAAATATGTATTATTGTTGGTATCTACCTTTTGAAAGTTATGGCCAATGCCGCACGACTCATCAAGGTTGCCCTGGGCACTGGGCAGCCCGTCGGGCAACCAGTCGTGCGACCAGTAGCGTCCAGTTTCCGTATCGCGCATCTCGCGAGCTTTCGCCTGTAATTAGCTCGTGCGTAATGACTAGGGATGACAAATTCATTTAGGACTTAATTGTTTTACCATAATATTTCCTTTGATTGGGTAGTTAAAGCATCAATTAACATTGTAGGATTGCATTACCACAATACGGTGCGATGGTTGGTTTTATTTTTATTATTATTTTCATTCATTTCACCATTTCAGATAACCATTTAGCTCTTACCTCGTTCTTTATATATTTTAAGTTTAATGTTTCACCAAAAATGCGTCTTGTAGCCTCATTTTATCCTCACGCATCTTCTTTCTCTGGCTTAGGGCCATTAAATTCTGGCTCAATGCTGATAATTGATTTGACGAAATAACATTAATATTGTTTGAAATTGAAAGAGATTCAATTGTCCCTTCCCTTTAATAAGCAATGACGTGAGCAAACAGGTTTGATGTCTCGGCTCTCGCTCGGTGCGCGGGCGCAGAGCGACGCAATTAGCACAGCATATATATGAGCGCTATGTCGGGGTGGGAATCCAGTGCACTCAGTATTGTACAGGGTGGGTATAACCGGAATGTGATGTTAAGACAATAAAATTATGAACCACACGTTGCCTGAAGAAACAGCGCAATCCCAACTAATATTATAAATGCGAAAGTAACTCTGTCTGTCTGTCTGTCTGTCTGTCTGTCTGTCTGTCTGTCTGTCTGTCTGTCTGTTACGCTTTCCCGCTTAAACCTCGCAACCGATTTTGATGAAATTTGGCATAGAGATAGTTTGAGTCCCGGGAAAGAACATAGGATAGTTTTTATCCCGGTTTTGAAACAGGGACGCGCGCGATAAAGTTTTTCTGTGACAGACAAAATTCCACGCGGGCGAAGCCGCGGGCGGAAAGCTAGTAGGGTATAAATGAAGAGTAGTAATGCCTGGTGGATGGATGAAATGTAGGTTTACAGCTATTCTATGCTAGGATCAATTCCTTGATTTGCGTGACGCATGGATAAGAGAGGGTCTAGCATGTTGGTACCTAGTACCTACCTGCCTTAGTTGTGGTTAGACATAATTAATAATTATGCTGTTCTATATTCAATCCTAATTCAAATCCGTCATGTCAAAAATATGTTTTGGTTAAAATATCTACGGATTTCGATGTTTTTACATTTTCATATTGTTTAGTGTTTACGACTATTGAAACAATAAAGTGTAACCGCATCAAAAATTATGGATATATTTTGATCGAAAACAGATTCAAATTTGACAATTGAAATCCGGATTTATGGGAAACGTGCGATAGCTTTCCCGAGGTTCCAGAACAAAACAGCCGCTTAGTACTAAAATGCAAAAAATGGCCAATAAAAATAAATTGCAATAAAAAGTTCGCCATCGCCAATGGAAGCGCATGTGATAACGCGCATAGGGTTGCCAGGCGTCCGGCTTTAGCCGGACATGTTTGGCTTTTTAGGGTCTTGTCCGGCCAGATATTGCCTTGTCCGGCATGTCCGGCTTTTGTTAGGCTTTTTATTTGGTTGCCGCGCCAGGCGAAAGTAAAGCCACAGAATCATATGAAGCGCACGCATCAGGATGTTGGTTAGCAACCGATGATGATAGTACTCACTTATGAGCTGACACTAATTGAACCCCCCCCCCCCGTCACATGTCCGGCTTTTAGGGTAAAATGTCCGGCCAAATGAAACACAAAGTCCGGCTTTTGTGATTTTGGACCTGGCAACCCTAAACGCGCAGAATGTTATCTGTAGCCGCTCAACGCCGCTTTGTCGCGTAAATGTCAAACTAGTGCTGCCACCTGTTGTCGATGCGCTATCTCAAATCCGCTGCGAATTAAACACGAAGTGTAGAAGGATGTGCGTGCGTAGATGTCGTATTAATACTTTGAGTAAATTACAGTCATTGACTGTACACAAAGCGAATGCAGACTTTTTGACTCATGCCAGATGTAGTGCCAATCAGCTTCTGTTAACCATAGGTAGTTACTTACATTACAACTAAGGCTAGGTTGCACTATCTTACTTTGACTTTGACAAACGTCAAAAATCTGTCAAACTCCATACAAAAACACCGGTTATCGTTATAGTTACGGTCAAAGTTAGACGGTGCAACTCAGCCTAAATCTAACATAAGGTAGTCATAATAACGGAAAATAAACTCGCCAGAAACGGTAGCACGGGGTCGTTAAAAGTAATTGAATAGCGCGCAAATAATTA